CAATTTCTATGCAAATTTTAAATTAAGTTTCTCAGATTTCATTGCCATTGGCTTACAAATATTTCCTTTAGATCAGAAAAGAACAGGAGATTCTACAACAACATGTGCCTCCTGCTGTATTTAGAAATATTTGTTAGTCTCAATAAATTGTTTCATATTCTCATTATATCAGTCCTGAGTATAGTACACTTTGCATCAGCAGAATAAAAAATGTATAAGCTCCCTGGAAATTTTGCAAATTGTGTTTGTTTTGCCAAATAGTTTTGAAATATTTATATTGCCACTGATTTCAGCATAATTTCAGTTCACGTCTAATAGAAAATAATTTTCTTCAGAGACATGTAGTCTCAGAAAATTTTTCCAGGAGACAAAGTACTGGATCTAGAGATTTAACCTTTTATGAATGGCAAAATGAAACTACTCTCTTTAAAACAACCAAGAAATCTCTGCCCACTGTTTCAATGCAGATAAAATGAAAGTCTCAGTACAATCATTTTTCTGAGTATTCTTCTGAGACTTGTAAAGTACAAAGTCTCATTTTTCCTACACACACAAAAGGAAACAAAACCATCAAACAACAACAAAATGTGCTACAAAGTTCAGTTGATTCAAACATGCTTGAACCACAACAAAGTAATCTTTCAAACAGTTTCAGTAAATGTGTCCTTTAAGATACATTGTTTATATAAAAAGCTAAGGAACATTTATTCCTGTCAGTCTTCCTGCAAAGGTTTTGGCACCAGAAGGATTTGCAGTTCAAATAGAAAAAAAAAACGCCCAAATAAAGAACAATACTATAGGAGGGGTAGTAAAATTACAAATAGCAAAATTCAGACATGCATTTTTGAAAATCCGGGCAGTTACTCAATAGATTCTATCTCTATAGAGAATAAGCATTGAAGTTACTTAAGGAGGAAGAGTTTTAGAGACAGACGCAGCTTTCAGCATAATTTTCCAAAGGAAGCTGCCCTAAACCCCTCTTAAAAATATTCTTTTTCTTTTTTTCTGGATACTTGAACATGCCAGAGAAACCACAATTAAGTGTGATATTATTTCTCTTATTTTTAGTGGTTACAAAGTTAAGTCTTGCAGCCTGCAAGCTGAAACAGTACTGTATGTGCATTTTGGACTTTCAATATATATAAATTCACAGAAGCTGTAACCTTTCCATATATATAAATTCACAGAACCTTTTCCCCTCTTTCTTTAGCCATTTCCAGGGATGTGGACTGACCAGAGAATGGCTGTGGGGATGCAAAGAGGCCAGAACCACACATTCCTCTTTCTCAGGAACATGTGCAGAAAATTAAAACCATTTGAGTAAATGAGGATAATGCGATTGAGGCAATCTGTAAGTTAATTGCCAGCCTATTTACCGCGGATTTGTAATCCACCTTGCATGAAAAGAGCCCTGTGTGTTATGGGGACTGAGCAAGCAGTGCACAGGTGCAACAGAGAACAGCAAATCCTCCAAAATTTTCTCATTTTTCACCTTTCTACTGGTTTTAATTTATGCCTTGACACTTCCCCACCCCCACCTTTTATAAAGCATATTTTCATTGATTTCTTGCCGTCCCAACAAATCCCTTGAAAAGCTGGGAGGAGGCAAGTGAGCGTTTTGCTGTGGTTTCCTTGGGTGTTGGGGAAAACCAGCTGCTGAATATCATTCCATAGCAATGGCAGGGCAAGCAATTCATGAACCAGGGAGCAAACCCCTACACCGAGCTAATTCCGTCTGGGTAAAAGGGCTGAGCTGCTGCTACTGACTCACTCACCAGCAGCAGGTCCGGGTCGGCGCTGCAGGGCTGCTGAGGAGGTGGCAGAGGCGCCGGGCGGGATGCAGGATCCAGGGAAGGGAGGAGGGTGGCCCAGCTCCGGCGGCTCGCAGGGCTGGGCAGTGCCACCCGGCTCTCACATCTGCTGCAGGACGAGCTGGCAGCGGGGTACCCTGCGCTCCGCCACCCCCGGGAGTCTCCACCCTCTCCCTCCGTGGGGAGGGCAGGGCCAGGGCGAGCCGCTGTTTCACCTTTTCTCCTTTTAGCCGAACAACTCCTAAGCTGCCGCAACCCAGCCACGCCTGTAGCGGTGACACTGTGAGTGAAAGAGGGCATCTCCACCTGCCCAGGCTTGCAGCCACGAACAGGGCTGGCAAAGCTGGCAGGGTGGGATGAAGCCCAGCGTGGCATGTCAGACAAGGCTCAGTCGGCTCTGATATCTTCTCCCCCAGTGTCCTGGAGATGGATACATTTTCCTTCAGTTCCAAATACCTGGAGAAATGTGAAGACTTTTCTCTATCCATCAATGTCATACCTGCATACTGTCCTGCGAAAACCAGAGCGGGGTTTTCACAGGACAGTATGTGGGTATGACATTGATGCTGTGGAAAGGACCAAAGGTAAGGCAGCCTTTGTTATACAAAGCAGGAGCACTGGTCCCCAGCCGAGGTTACTGGGCAGCATCAGCCACAGATTTCCAGGAGCTGTGCTAACTGGAAGTAGGATCAGTGACAGTATGCCACTTCTCCTATGTGCTCCCTGATGAAGTTTTGGTTTCCAGGATGTAGCTTCTGATAACCCCAAAGATGAGGTTGGGCAAACTCTGGGCGATACTGAAAGAACTCTTTCAGTTCTGTTGGCACCATCCCACGTGAGGGCTCTGACAGAGCTTTGACAAATACATAAGCCCATGGAGTCACAATCTTTCTCCTTGGGAGAGTACACATTATGGATGGTTTCAATTTAAAATCATGATTTTTTTAATCATCTCTTTTTCCTAGCAAGACTTATCACTAATAATTAAACATCAAGGCTGCCTGTAAGAGCTCTCCTGGACCAAACACCGCAGGGCCAGAATTTTTTATGTAGGTGTAACCTGGGATAAGTAATTCATGAATTTATCATTGTTCATAAACCATGTTCCTGAGACTTTGTTCTTTCCCTTATCAGTGATTTTACAATAATTAACTCTCTACTGTATTTATATGAGACTTAGAAGCATGTGACCAGCAAGTGAAAATCATTGCATAGTCCCCGTGGCATTTGAGAAGATGCACACATGACCAAAGAGGTGCAGAAATACTGTTATCTTGTTCAGAGAGTGTGTATCTGCAGCCTGGGCTGGAAACCTCAGCAGACAATTTGTAGTATCAGATCTGGGCTATCCCCAGGCAGCTTGGATGCAGGACTCAAAGGTGTAATATGTTGCTACATTGGGATGAGCTGTTGACTCCCTTGAAGGCCCAGCAGAGAGACCTTGACAAGTTGGAGGGCTGGGAAATCACCAACCAGATGAACTTTAAACAAAGACAAGTGTTGTATTTTTCCCCTGGGATGGGGTAACCCTGGATGTACGGACAGACTGGGGAATGAGGGGCTGGAGGGCAGCGCTGTGCAAAGGGCCCTGGGGGTCCTGCTCGATGGAAAGCTGAGTGTGAGTCAGCAGTGCCCTGGCAGCCAGGAGGGCAACTGTGTCCTGGGGGGCACCAGGCACAGCATGGCCAGCTGGGCAAGGGAGGGGATTGTCCTGCTCTGCTCTGCACTGGGGCGGCCTCACCTCCAGTGCTGGGGGTAGTTTGGGGTGCCACTATATAAGAAAGTATGAACTATAGAGAGCATCCAAAGGAGGGCAACAAAGATGGTGTATAGGGTTCGCCTCGGCTGGGTTTTGGGGTATCCCCGGCGGGCTGCCCAGGGTCTGCATAGCCTAGTCCTGATCTGAATTAACGTGGTTTCTGCTGGGCTATTGGGATCCACTCCAGCTAGCTATGGACCCTTGCCCACACAATAATTCATAGACTAAAGTAAAAAGATTGAGAAGGGCTCTTCTTCACATGTGAAACGTTTTCCTTTATTCCAAGAGACACACCAGGTGGACAAACTCATGGGAGAAAGAGAGTGTTCCCTGGTGGCAGGGGACTTTTATACCCTGGGGAATGTGGACAGCGGGAGAGGTCCACAGCCAGTGGGATACCAGTGAGGAGTGGCAAGGGTAGGGTTTCTTAACCCAGGGGAGAGACCACCAAGGGGTACTGGGGTGGGTAAGGGAAAGACTGTGTGATGGGGGAAAGGGATAGCAAACCACATGATATAACATAAGCTATTCAGTGCCATATAAAGACTACTCTGTGCAAATTCCCAATCACCCCGTGCAAAAGAACAACTAAATAAACTAGTGCAACACAACACTGTTCAGCACAGCCTGTCTGAGCTCCCAGGCAGCTCCCAGCCACAGACAACCTTAGCAAGCTCAGCTATTAGTGATTTCAACTCTTTATCAGCTCATTTGTAATTTCATCTCTTTAGCTTGCTAAGTGCCTTTGGCAGACGCAGGGCAAGAGAGGAGAAGGCTGTGTGAGGTTCCACAGAGGTGTCCTTTACTGATCTTCTGCAAAGGTCTCAGGGACAGCACCTTCTGACAAACTGGGCAAAAGTAGCTCTTTATATGGGGTACAGGAGTTTTAGAAATTGTCCAGTAGTAAGGGTCAAGGGAAAAGTGACCTATCGTCTTACAGAGAGATAAGCAAAGGTTTGAAGGTGGAAGAGAGGGGCTTCTTAGGTCCAGTCATCATGACTCGGCATTCCCCAGCTCAGGCTGCTGGCCGCCATGGAGGCCTTGCAGGCCCTGGGCCTGCTACGATGGTGAAGGGCCTTGAGGGGCAGCCACACCAGGGGTGGCTGAGGTCACTTGGTCTGTTCAGCCTGGAGTAGAGGAAGCTGAGGAGGGACCCCATTGCAGTTAAAGCTTCGTGGTGAGGGGCAGACACTGAGGTGTCTGCAGACACTGAGATCTTCTCTGTGGTGACAGTGATAGGAGCCCAGGGAATGCCCTGAAGTTGTGTCAGGGGAGGTTTAGGCTGGATATTAGAAAAAAGTTTCTTTGCCCAGAGGGTGTTTGGGCACTGGGAACGAGCTCCCCAGGGAAGTGGTCACAGCTCCAAACCTGACAGGGTTCAAGAAGATTTTGCACAAATCCCCTTGGGTGCATGGTGTGGTTCTTGTGACTGTCCTACGCTGGGCCAGGAGTTGGACTTTATGGACCCTTCTTGGGTCCCTTCCAACTCAAGATATTCTTCCATGAGTTAAGAAAAACCGGAGCACTTGCAGAGGATGCAGAGAGAGGTGACTGTTGCTCTCAGCATGACTGGTGGTCCAGCTTAAACCAACCAACCAACAACAACAGCAAAAGGAGATGAAAAACTGTGGTTATTTTGTTTGCACAGATATTTGCTCTACTTCTAAGAGCCAATATGAATTGGGTTTGGTTTTGTTTTTTTTTAATTGTGGGCACAGGTATCCCTGAGATTGTTTCTGAATGTGTCAATTTGCAGTTGTTCCTGTCTTCAGGCATGGAGCAGACTGTCTGAAGGAAAGCCCCAGCTGATGCTTGCATTAGAGTCTGAAACATTGAGTGAAAGGAATTCAGCCTTTCTGCAGTTTTGGAAGCTGGCCAGGAGCAATTTAACTTCACTGGGAAGTTTTTTCTCTTAGACACATGTATAGGACACATGTACATACACTCTGAAGGGACTGTGTTATCAACTCTGGTAGCTGCTAGGATGTTTTGTGGTCCTGTATAAAGATAGTACAGAGCCATTCACATTCAAATAAGCAATAAAAGAAATGCAGTGTAGGAAATTATTCCTCAGAGATAAGATTATATATTTCATTAAGGAGAGACAGTGCACACTTCGGCATCTCATCGGCTTTACTGCTGCAGGGCTCCCACGGGATCAAGGTTCACGTATTGCTGCAGGCTTGAAACCTGTGCCTTCAGGAGTGCAAAACTCAGTAATGAATTCTACCCTCATAAAACTTTCTCTGTCATACTGTTTCCAAGGCCATGCCTGCCCCAGGTGCTTATTTGTCAGGTAATGCACAAAAAGTGATCATAAATTTTCCCTCATCTATCTTTGGACAAACCTGTGGTGTATCGCAGAATTACTTAATGTTAGCAACTTGTCAAATACGGAGTTCAACCTTACACACTTATGTTTTGTGCTTGGTCATATGTGAGGCACAGCCATAACACACATGTGAGCTTTGCTCAGTTCACAACATAAAAATCCTGAGATGTTAAACACACCATAAGTGAGGTATCACCTTACCAGACAGTCCTTCGAAACAGCTTGCTTGCTGTGTTTAAATATTAAATCTGGCAGAGGTCACCACCAGCTGTCCATTAACCAAAATGAAAGGTGAAATCTGCTGCACAGCAGCAACACCAACCAAGGTGTGCCCTGGACTGTGCCCCTTCTTTGTTTGGACTTGAATGAAGCTCTGAGCTTTCACCTCAGCACTGGGAGGCAATGTTTAACAACAGGATAAAACTTTATTACAAGGAGAAGAAACATATCTTGTATGAGTAATTGCTATTGAAAGACTCGAGGTGATAAACCTCAAGGAAGGGATGTAGGTATTGAATCTAATGTTGATCAACATGATGCTTACCAGGAATTTTGAGCTGCAGATCAGGCTGGCATGATACTGTGCAGTATTTCCAGCTTGGTGTCAAACCTCTCAGGAATCATTTGGTCTGTCTCATTAGCCCTGGAAATAACATGATGGGCCTTTCCCTTGTAAGGTTTAACATTCTCATAACAAATGACTTAAACTGTGCCCCAGAAAAGTACCAGTTAAATCATGTGATGTTAACATCACATATTTTACTTGAGTGGGAGATTTCCTAGCAGGTTCCCTGCTGCTCAGAGTGAGCTGCATTTTACTGATGTGTTCCAACCTCCTGAATTTAGGCTTAGAGCTGTAATCCTTCACAACCCTGCTTTGTCTTACAGGTGTTTTGACTCTACCTTGCTTTGCAGGCCAAAACCTGTCTTAGCTGAGAATTAACACACCTGGGAAATATCTAAGGCCTCTGTTTCCTCTCAGTGAACACAACAGTCTATTAAGCTGCTAACATCAGATTCTTCTAACAACTTTCCATGTCTGCAGTCATGTTTTCTTCCCCAGCTCTCTGATTTCATTGAGACAGCAAGTCCCAGGGAGGGAGTTGAAGCACCCCAATGGCAGCCACTGCTCACTCTGTGAAATGTCCTGAACATAAACAAAGGGCAAGGACAACTTGATAGATACCCTCAGTTTTTACATCCATTCATAGCTGTTCGAATAGGTACCAGTGACTGAGATTTTTCCTCCTCACTGCTAAATTGTTGTGATCTTGTGCCAGAGCAGAAATGTTTTGTCATGGTGAAATTGCCTGTGGACAAACAGCAGCAGCAGAAGCAGCAGGGCAGTGCTGAAGAACAGTCCCTCCTTCATGTGCTGAGCTGTGAAGCAGAGAAAGAAGTGGAGCTCTCAGCATCCTTCTTCCCTGGTGCCCTCTGGTGACTGACTGCTCTCCCAGATCACACTGCACAGGATCCCAAAACACAAACCTGCTTAGGGGCCAGGTCTGGGGGAAGAAAAGAAATAGTATCCATTAGTAACAGTGTGGGATGTGAAACTTGGTGGTCTGGTTTATTTCCCTGTAGTTCATGCAGGCAGCACCACCACTGCTGTGCACCAAAAATGAAGGAACAGCAAAAGATCTTCTTGGAAACAACAACAACCACCCTGGAAAAGTAGGTAGGCTGTTTCAGGAGGGGCTTGCATTAGTTGTGCTTTTGCCACCATACACTACATCAATACTCACACCGCATTAGCCTTGAAGAGAGAAGGGAGTGTCTGATCTGATGATCAGGATCACGCCCCACTGTATCATCTCATGTCCCTGTGGGATCAGTGCAGATTTGGGGATGTTTAGCCTGGAAAAAGGGAGGCTTAGGAGAGACCTTTTTGCTCTCTACATCTACGTGGAAGGAGTTTGTAGAGAGGTGAGGATCAATCTCTTCTCCCAGGTAAACAAGTGACAGATGAGAGGAAATGAAATGTCCTCAAGTCGTGCCAGAGGAGCTTTAGATTGGATATTAGGAGAAATTTCTTCATGGAAAGGGTGGTCAGGCATTAGAACAGGCTGCCCAAGTGGTGGAATCACCAGCCCTGAAAGTGCTAACAAAATGAGCAGATGTGGCACTTGGGGATGTGGTTGAGTGGTGAACATGGCAGTGTTAGGTTGATAGTAGGACTCGGTCTTGGAGGCCTTTCAGACCTTACCAGTGTGCTTTGTGAGACAGGCTGTCTCCCATTTCTGGGAGTCCTTCAGACTGTTTACAAACATCCCCCAACTTACTTAATTTCTGCCTCCAGAAGCAGTGGGAGCACATTTTCTCTGGTGTGTGCTGGAGCCAAAATAGCTCAGGGCTTCAAATAACCTGAGGTGGAACACCCACTGCCTGTAATTAGCATCCCACATCCAGGAGATGGAATCACCTGAAACTCAAGAGAAACCCAGGTTTCCCTAACTCAGGGTGTAACAAGGGGAGGACATCTGCTGGCAGGAGCATCTTGTGCCTCAGCAGAGCAGCCACAACTGTGATCTGGATCTGGAAGAGGCAGGAGTTGAAATCACTTAGAGCATCAAATACTTTGAATTGTAAGCAGCTGGAGCATTTATCAGTCAGAGCTGTGAGAACCAGGAGCATCTCTAATCCAAACTAGCTGGGGTGTCTACCAGCTGGAGCCAGGGTGTCTGTCACCCAGAAGCCACACGGGTTATCCTCTACAGGGAGCTCTACCCAGCAAGGAGCCTGGCCTCTTCCCTTGCTGATTAAATACATGTCACATGTTCCTCACTGCATGAAGGGTCTCTCTCAGTCCCATTCCTGACAGCAGAAGTGAGATGAGGGTGAGCCTGGCTCTTCTGGGCTGCCCTGCTCTGAGGGGCCGCAGGCTGTGGCTGCAGGTGAGGCAGCAGCACAAGGCAGTGGAGTCCCCTCTGTACCTAAAAAAGGAGAGACACCAGTCAGTCAGAGCTCCTGGTGGCACACCCCAGAGACCCTCGGGAGATGCCTTTTCCCCTCCCTATTCAGAAGAGTCACATCTTTCCCAGAAGGGCAGTCCAGGAAGGGCATTTGCACAAACCCCTCTGTGAAGCAGGGTGAAGTTCACCTTGACTGTGTGCACAGGAGATGTACCCACACTGTCCCCAGCACTACACAGAACTTCTGACAATGGGGTGCAGCTGGATCAGACCCCAGCAACTCTTGGTTCACCTTTCCTGAGCTCCCTTCCAAGCTCCCAGGCCCCCAGACATTAGGCACAAACGTCCTAGGAGAGGCTTTGGTCTGGGGGGCTGTGACAGCTCCCCACATGGTGCTGACCCCCTCTGGCATTGTTTGCCCCCCCACTCATATTCATAGGGTGCCAAGAGAGGCAGCAGGAACAGAACCAACCCAGCCAGCCCTTAGAGGGGATCTCAAGTGCTTGTCCATCACCCACAATGAGGTTTTCCCAGTTATGCTGGGCTTCTCCCACCCTAGCCAGCAGCAAGAGACCCCCTTGACAGCATAGCTGGCTGCGTGACAGCATGGCTGGATGTGTGGTCATCACTTCGGGCACTCACCAGGCACTGTCTGCAGCTCCTGTGTCCCCTGACACCCCCTGGATGAGATAGGCACTTGTGCCTCTCCCCCCGACTTGGGGCTGGCAGCTCCTGGCTCCTTGCTCACCTCCACAGCACGGCCTGTGCAAACAAAGCCCCGTGAGGACACAAGGGCAAAGCTGTGTCAAGAAGGACCTGTCTTAGAAGGAAAACGACCACCACAACCATCCTGGCCACCAGGAAACCACAAAGATCCCGGCCCCAGCAAGCTGGCAGCGGCCTGGAGGGAGGTGGAAGAGCACAATGCAGGATCCCTCAGCAGGAAAGGGAGGTTCGGCATTACTGACAGAAAGCCTCAGGACCCGTAAAATGTCCCCGTTCCGGCCGTCAGCAGCCGCGGGGCAGGGGACTGCTGCCAGTCCAGGGCTGACCCCGACCGGGAATTGCTGACACCGAGGTGCCTCACCTGGGGGTGCTGTGGGCAGGTCTATGTCCCTTGATATCCCTGGGACACGGTGCCGTCCCAACAGCGCTCAGCCCGAGAGTCGCGGTGCTGCTGGGGCAGGACAGGTCAGGAAGCGCGGAGTCCCGGCACACGGCGCTGGAACAGCCCGCAAGGATCTCACGGGAGAAGCGGAATCCCTGAGGAAAAAACAAGCTCGCCGCGCCTCCTAGTGTGCTCCAGGAGGGTGGAACACCGGGAGCGAGTGGCTGAGCCGTGCGACAGCCAGGGGCCGCCCGCTCCGGGATCGGGATGGGGCGGGTGCAGCTCCGGGCTTTACAACTCTGTGATGTGGAGCACCCGCGACAAGAGGCTTTTCCTTCCTGCCCGCCGCTGGCAGCAGTTTGGCAAAGTAGCACTTCAAATAATGAATACAGGTGAGTGGTCTTAAGTGCATACTTGCTTTCGTAGTGGTCGTTTGTAGTTACTTCTAATAAAGAAATTCACAGAAACAAAACCTCTGTGTCCTCGTGTCTGCTCAGCAGCCTCCTGGCTGCTTCTGGCTCACTGTGGAGGAGGACATGGCTCACTGTGGAGGTTCGTGCCTTTGGTCCCTGGTCCCAATGGACAACCCCTGCATGCACTGGAGGAGAAAGAGACCCCGGGAGGAGACTCCATGATCAAGGACGGGCGTAGAAGGATGCCAAGCAGGAATGATTGTCAGGGAAGCCCAAAACAACCAACCCTGTGGGAAGAGAGATGGGGACAGGGGGCCGGTGGGAGCTCCGTTCTGTGGACACAGGGCTCACTTGTCCCTGGAAGGAGGGGACCTCAGCACTCCTGACTTAGAAGCCCTGGATCTTAGGTGCTCTCAGCACACCCTGCAGCACACCCTGCAGCAGCAGGGCTGTCGCTGAACTGGCCAGCTAAACCATGCAGCTGCCTGCGTTGTGGGCTGGGCTCAGAGCCAGCCCTCAGCCCCGCTCTGTTGGCTGGCAGGGTGCACGTAGCAGGGATTTAGGACCAGCAGCCAGGAGGGAGCAGAGGTGACCCAGCATGCCTGCGGCCACCCGCGACATCTGTTCCCACAGCAGGCACACTGCCAGCTCCCAGAGTGGCAGAACCCCCCTGGAGCCCCGTTGAATCCCATGTGCCAGTGTCAGCACATCATAAAACACAGAGCAGCACACGCGTCCCGAGGTAACTTTATTTCATGTAAAACTTCCCCTCCTCTTCATTCCGGGACTCCGATCAGGGGAAAAAAAAAAAGGAGTTTATATCTGGGGGCAGGTCTCAGGGGAGGAACAATCTTTAACAAATCAGGAGAATTGGGAGTAAAAACAAGGCGGGAACCACAAGGCATAAACCAATAAAAATCCCAGGGGAGGAGAACAGTTTCAGTAAACTGATAGAGTTTGGAGAAATAGAAACTAGAAACTAACAACCAAAAAAAGTGACGAAAATTCTGGGAAAAGGCGGGAACAAAAAGGAAACCGCATGAAGAAACTACCAAATTACAAATCAAACAATAAACCTACTAATAAAACAAAAAACACGCTGCAACTTGAAAGCACACGCCGTCAGCAGCGGCACAGCCTCACCCTTTCACACCGGGAGCAAATGCAGCGGGGGTTGTGATGGTGAAAACAGGCGAGTGGAAAAGGTACTTTTGAATAAATTCCCGTCCTGTCCAGCAGAAGTACAGATATGTATACAGATATGCCAGAGCCTCCAGGCCCCCTGCAGCCCTCTCTGGGCAAACCCCCAACATTCTCTGTTCAAAGCAACAAACTTTAAACCAATCTGAGCCAGAGCAACCCCAGACCCAGACTTACCTCTTCCCTGTTTGTCACCATGGTAGGCAATGGATAAACCTTTGCACCCCCAAGTCCCAGCTCTTCCACCATAGCATATTACACCTAACACCCACAATCTGCAGGGTCTGACCCAGAGAAGCCACTCCCATGTGATGGTCTCTTCACAATATTTCTGTGGGGAAAGCAGGGTGACTGGGAATCCCACAGCATCACCATCACTCCCCGCTTGTGTCCTGGTGCTGGGGACAGTCCAGGCATCCATAGGGATGGGTTCAGTGCTTTTGGGTCTCTCTGAGCAGAGGGCAATGCTGTCACCAGATCTGCACATTGGTGGTGTCCACAGAGAAGTTGTTCCCATAGCAGATTTGGCTTTTGTTTTATCTTTTCTGTTCCCATAGCAGATATGGCTATTGTTTTATCTTCTCCTCACTGAATTTTGTGGTCTGGCCTCATACCAGTGTGGGTGGGCAAGAGAAAGCCTCATTTATCTGACAACTTCATAGTGCCTCTGGCCACACAGCCTAGAAAAGTACAGCACTGATTCTGGTGCTGCAGAAAGACACAGACATAAATAACAACACACAGGCAAGAAGACAAGCAGTGCTTTTATTGCTGGCTTTACCAAGGGAAAAGGGAATCAAGCAGAGTGAAGGCAAACTCCTCATGGTGCACGTCCCAACAGCCAGGGCAGCAGCAGCTCCTGCCTGCAGAGGCTCCACAGGGTCCAATGAAGATGGCAGCATCTGCAACAGGATAGGAGAGCAGGATCACCCTTTCCTCAGTCATTACTGCTCTGGCACTGCTGCAACCCTGTGTCTGGAGTCAGGTGTCAGAGGAAAGGGAGACCCAGGGAAGGCACTGAGACGAAGTAGCTCCAGCCCCCCAGTTTACCAGAATATGCCCATTGCCCTCCTCCGGTTGATGTCTCTCTTCAGCTGGCAGAGTGCACACGGGCTGCAACACCAGAGGGCGCAAAAGTCGTTCAGGATGGAGCCCTGTGGAGCAAGCGACATTGCATGAATAATCCCTTCCCACACCAAACGTTAAATCTTTCAGCCTTTCTATTTTACATCGTCAGCACCCCATGGGAGCTCACCCGGGCCCTGCACCTCCCAGCAAGGACTGGGATGAAGTAGTGTGCGCTGGGATTACCTGCAGCTCACAGCAGTGAGCCAGATGTGTCCCTGACTCCTGGCCAGCTGGGATGCTCATGCAACTCCTCACCTCTGCCCTTCCCCTTGGGCAGCCCTTTCTCCTTCCTTGAGCCCCCACCCCAGCACCCATCCCGTGGCTGTTGTCGCTGTTGGGACAGGCCCCCGAGCTGGTCACTCACTGGGATTTTGTATCTGGTGCGGTAGAGGGTCCTCATGGCCACGCTAGAGCCACACAGGCAGCACTCGTCCATGTCCCCAGCCACTTGGCAGCTCAGGCAGAAGAAGCAGAAGATCCCACAAAGACCTGTGAGACAGTGAGATGTGGACTTGGCTGAGGGGTGCCAATACCGAGGAAAGGGGGAAAAAACAGCTGAGAGCTGTGGCTCTTGACATCAGGCAAGAGCTGCTCTGCCTCCAGTACCCACGGGAGTGGGGCTGGCAGCAGGGGTAATGCTGCAGGAGGAGCAGGGTAAAACACCAGGAACACATAATGAACAACAGCAGGAATGAGGGCTACATTATGTACTCACATACGCCGCAGTCGGAGCAGCAGTCCAGCATCCCTGTTTGCCACTCCCCTGGCTGCTGGGCAGCTAAAAACTGGGGTTGGACTGTAATCACATTTTGAGAGGCCATTGCCAGCACAGGTTCAGGTCCCTCCAGGCAGTTTGTGGTCTGGAAAGAAAAGCCGTCAGAGGCGGATGCTGCAGGTATTTCTGAAGTGGGTGTCTTGCTCAGGCTGCTGCATTCAGAGTTCCTTGGGGAGTCCCCACTACCAGGCACCACAAAGTGAGGGGTACAGGTCTGCCAGAAGCTGACACTACCCTCTGAAGGAAAGCCTTCCTTAAAACCAGTCTTCCACGAAAGGCAGCAGCACACCCTCCCTATGCAAGTAAAATGTCTCTGGGAAAACAGAGGTGCTTCTGCTTCAGAATTGAAGTGCTTCAACACCTCAAACTAGTCTTTTCATCTCCAGGTCATCCTTCACTGTTGTCTGTGTAAAATCACATAAAAATATCTGTGTAAAATTGTCTGGGTAAAGTTGTCTGCATTTTGGGCTGGTTTTTTGGAGTTTGTTTTGTTTTGTTTATGATCACAGTCTCCCAAAGTTACTACTGCTCAGTTCTAGCTTCCCCAAGCTCTCAGGAGTCAACTTAATCTTTGCTTTGTTCTATGAAAATCTCAGCTTATTTGCTTCCCCCTCTCCCTTCCTTCTTCACTTGCCTTCTTATTGTGTTTCAAGGCAGTGGGTTTTCGTTGTCTCTTTCCATCACCCTAAGCCCTGCCACCAGTTCCTATCCCTCCTCCACTTGACTGTCTGTGCCAACACATCATCATCCTCCTCTTCCTCAGTCTTGTGGGGTCACCATAGCCTGTGGAGCTCCTCTCCATCCCATCCTTTCTCAGAAATGGGCTGCATTCTCTGAGAGTAGGAAAGCTCCTGCTTCACAGTACCATCCCCAAAATCACCTGACCAAAGTAACCATTCCTCCTGCACCTCCATCAGTGGCCCCTTCCCTCCCTGCCACCCCTGCAAGGCACAGCACCAGTTCTGCCACTCTCACTTTTGGTTTTGGAGCTTTAATTAAAACAAACAAAAAACCTGAGGATTCTCCCGGGAGAGCTCCCATGCAGACTCACTCCCTGCCCTTTGCCCAATCTCAGCACCACTTTGTTAGGCACTCTGAGAGGATTGTTTTCTCTCCAGAATTGCACAGTTACACAAAGTTAAGTATTAAACGACACAAGAAATGGGGTGGAACAATTACTGTGCCCAGCACTCAGACAATGCCATTGAGCTCATTGAGAGTGGCACCACTGTGGCATTGCATTTGTACTGACTAATGCCAACAGGTGGCTCGCTGGAAGCTCCTGTGACTCCCCAGCACAAGAGACACATCCCAGCTGTCAGAAACAGCCCTTGTTCCTGGCAGTCCAGGAAGTGGAAAAAGGCTGTTGAATTATGGTGTAAGAGGGAAGAAAGCTGGTAAAAACCTCCACATGGTTTGCTGCTGACTTTTTGCAGGCAATGGAACAAAGCTAGGCTGTCCCTATCTGAGACACCTGAGGGTGCAGCAGGGGACACTGCATCCATCATCCCTCTCCGGACAGCGCCTGGCGCTGCCTTGGCCAGCTGTCCCCGTTTGTTCGTCTGTGAGATCCCAGGTAATTCCCACCACCTCTGCAGCCAATGTAACACCTCCTGGCATGCCAAAACAGCAGGCCCCTCAGGAAGCCTTGGCACACAATGATTTAAGAAGAAAGAAGCAGGAGGGGCAGGGAAGGAGACAGACCATGGACAGGCTGTGCAGTGGTGAGCCCAGCATGGGGCTCCCATGCAGAGACAGGGATGTTTAGCAGCAGGCAGGACCACAGGGAGAAGTGTGCACAGGAGCAGCAGCAGCAAGAGAAATTTTAGGGACAGGATCCCTCCAGTCAGGTTTCCCCTTCCCCTCCCCAGGTACGAGCACACCACCCTGCACAGGTGGTGGCTGCAGTGCAGAGCAGGCAGCAGCCTGGAAAAGCCTCTGCCACACACTCACCTACAGAGAGATGGGCCAGGCCCAGCACACCAAATGTATCACAGTTTCACAATTCACACCCCCATGGCTTCACCAGACACACTGGAATGAATGATGGGGACAAAAGCATCCTGAAGTGCATGCAGCTACATTTCACCAACAGCCAAGGTCACAAAGCTGTATCTACAGGCACTGTATGTGCACAAATACAGTGCACTATATGAGCAACACAGTGCCAAATCTGCTATTCTCTACCTCTGTTCCCCACATCTGTCAAGATGCCATCAGCAGCACCCACCATGCTGTGGTTAACCCTGAAGCAGCTTTCCAGGTAGAAAACCTCACCTTTGCTTCCAACCCTTCCCCTTGCCAAGCATCACCACGTCAGCCACAAGCAGTTTCCATACCACAACCAAAGCAAAGCCAAGCCATACATACTTGCCAAGCTGTCCTTGTCCCAGCAGACACGTCTCTTTTTCCTGGTTCTCATGCTTTATATGCACTCTGGCAAATGACCTTTGCTCCCTCTGACTAACAGAGCAAATGGTGCAGCTTTGCACAATGGCAGCTTCCCTGCTGCATTCCTGCCGCCAACCTTTGCCTTTCCCCACCCAGATGTTCTCCAGGCCCAGAGCCCTGGTGGGAGAGGTTTCCAGAGGAGGGCAGTTTGTTTCCAGGCTCCTGTGCTGCCCTAAGCCATGTGCTGCTGGAGGTGCAGCACCTGTAACTGCACTGGGTGACATGGGGTGGGCTCTCTCAGGCTGAAAATGCATTTTTCTGCATTTCCAGGGATCATCCATAGGACCGTCTGAGCCATCTGGGTTTAAACAGTTGGGAGTACCATCACACCCACCCACCCCTCAGCATGGACAGAGCCACTTAAAGGTTTTGTGGTAAAGGTGAAGGTAGAGTGGGGACAAAAAAAATAATCATAGTCTCCTTAAAGAATGAAGCTGGGAGATATTTGCAGGGATCAAAAGTCCTTTAGCATTTCTCTTGAGAGCGATGGAGAAAGGGTGGATGCAACCTACACCTTCTGCATGGGAATGAGGGCTCACAGCCCAGTGCAGACAAGATGGGCTGTATAATGCCATGCAGGAAGATGGCACTAATTGTACCTAGAGAGGACACAGATAACCCACGACCCAGCCAGGTTTTTTATTGCAGGTGTGGAGGAGTTCATGCTCAGGGTCCATATCTCTTCAACATCAAGGTGAGCTGGTGCCAGGCACCCCATGCCTTTCTATTCAGAAAGGTGTCACTGACCAACACTGGACAGCCACCTGGGCCACCACAGTAGGGGCAATGCTGTGTGCCCTGCAGAAGTCACTTGCCTGCAGGAAGACCCAGCTCTACCCTGCAGCAGTAGTCATTTTCCTAAATTTTGCAACTTGGGATGAGCAAAACTGGCTCCTTCAATGTATTAAATATCCTTTCTAAAAGCTGATCCAATAACAAGATACTAGTGAAAATCTTTCTCTGCAGCAGGCACAGGGAAATCTCAGCTACACCAGGGGCTGCTGAGATGGATGGAGCAGGAGAAGGATGGGTACTCTCAGGTGGTGCAAGAGTAACATACACAGAGGTAGGAAGACAAACTCAGAACTTTATTTCTGCAGTTAAGTAGAGAAAATCAAATGCAGTCAAGGTAAGCTCCACGTGGTACATTTCCCAACAGTGGTGACTCCTGATTGCAGCAGCTCCAAGGATGCAGCAAGGATGGCAGCATCTGCAACAGGATGGAAGAGGAGTGTCAGGACCGAGCTGAGCCTCACCACACTCTGTCTTGCCCCAGTCCTCCCTGCTCCACCCTGCACAAGGGCCCCAGCCACATTTTGCTTCAGGACACGTCACTCTGGTCAACTGTCCATGGCCATTTCCCCACTGCAGCAAACTTAGTCTGGTGTCAAGATGTTGGCAGGAGAGGCTCTGGGAAGCCACCTGGCTGCATGTGAGAGCAGCTTTATGGACGAGCAGCAGCACCCCCAGCTTACCAGAATATGCCAAGCTCCTTCCTGCGATTGACGTCTCTCTTCATTTGGCAAACAGAGCACACGGTGCACCACATGGTGATGCAGTAGTCAGAGCAAATGGACCCCTGTCAGGGAGAAACTGGTTAGGGACAGAGGCTTCCCAGAGATCATGTTCCAGCCAAGAAAATGTTAATCACATTCCAGGTCAAGTACTCTTCTTGGCAGGCTGCAGCATCCCGAGTAGAAAACACTGAAGCCCTGGGCTGGCAAACCCCAGGCACCTCGGAAAGGAAGGAAGGAGCCCTTTGTGCAGGCTGCAGATAGCTACTTATCTTATGACTTCTAAAGGTCAGACTGGGAATTAAAATGTTCACAGAAACAGACAGTGTGGGCAGAGTGAACTTGGGACCCTATGGCTTGCCCTTGGGATGGCAGCAACCACCTCCCATGCAGGAAGAAACACCCTCACGTATGCACTGTCCACCTTTCTCCCAAACCTGATGATGGATCTTTATCCTTGTAACCATCTTCACCTATTCTTTATTCAACCCACAGTTATCTCAAGTCTTTCCCATCTTTCAAAGCTCAAAGAAGGAAGCAGCAGCTGAGGTAGATACGAATGGGAAAAAAGGGGAACTGGAAATCACTGCTGTCCTGAGCCCATCCCTCAAGTGCAGAGAGAGGGGCCTCGGGGGCACCCTGTCCTTCAGGCTCACAGCAGGGTGAGGGCATAGCTCAGCACTGACCGGGATGTTGTATCTGGTGCGGTACAGGGTCCTCATGGCCACGCTGGTCCCACACAGGCAGCACTCGTTCATGTCCCCAGCCAGCTGGCAAGCCAGGCATGGGAAGCAGAACATCCCGCAGCAGCCTGGCAGGGGGAGAAACACAGCACTGGATGAGGCTCTGCCTGCCCTCCTGGAGCAGCTGGGCAAGCCAGGCTGGCTGGCTGCACAGTGGCACCGCTGAGCCAAGCAGCAGGGGCAGGGAAACTGTGTGCAAGGCACTCACAGACGCCACAGTCGGAGCAGCAGTCCATCAGGCCCGTCTGCCACGTGCATCTCGACACAGAGGACATGGCCCCGCCATACTGCGGCTGGATTGTCACAACGGTTGGGACAGCCATTCCCAGGTGCTCTCCTGAAAGAGACAGGAAACGGGAGAGTCAGTGAAAAAGCTGTGGTTGGTCTGAACCTCCAACCAAACTGGTGGCTACCACCCCTCAGCAGGCTGCCTTTTGCCCAGCTCGCTAGCTGCCACTGGCGGTGAAAGAGCATAACCATATCTTGCCTGCATTTCTATCTGTGATGGATGTTATGGAATAATTCGTGCTTGTGTAAAATATACATGAAATAAGTTGTGCTTGTACGAAAAATTCTTAAAGATTTAAAACAACAAGCCGCAGCCAGGGAAAGAAATTGTTTCACAAATTGTGATTTCAAATCACAGCGAAGAGAAAAAACCTAATTAGCAAATGAAAGAGGGAGATGGGTCCTTTCTCGGGACAGTCCAGAGACCCCCAAGCGATGAGTACCCGAGAAGTATTGGTGATCAAGATAGTCAGAGCTGTCAAGAGTGTGCATCCCAACACCAGGTTCCAGTAACCTGACAATCAGCATTCATCGCTTCCCAGTAACGATTTTGTCCAGCCCAGCACAGAGAAAAGGAAACTACATGAATATGTGCAGCAAGAAGAATAGGAGAAACTAGAGAAGAATAGGAGAAACTCTGCCCCAGGTGAAACAAACCGTATAAAACTAGCCCGGCACAGACAGCATTTGTGAACAGAGAGGATTTGAAGCAGAAGAGTTCGGATCTGTGTTCACCCAGTGCGGATCCCAGGCTCGACACTGACCATTTGATTGTGGCTATCGGAGACCGAATCTTGGTCGTGAAATAAAAACTTTTTTTAATTGATTATTGATTTGGCTTTATCATTTTATTATTTATAACATATCTGTTCAAGGTTTTCACGTTATCTCCCATTTTATCCAGCCTTCAAAATATCATCAGGCCACTGATGTTCCCCACTCCACAAAGGCTTTGCTAGTGCTTAGACGTGACTCATTCCAAGCTAAAGGGAGGGACTTGGGCATTCTGGTTGTTGGACTTGTTATATTTTACACAAGAGGCTTTAGCATGGGCACAGGGCATGTGGGAAGCACCTGTGGACTCATTTCCTCATAACAAAGCCAGGCTACACACAAGAGAGTAGAACAGAAAACTCGTATCTCTGGTTTCCTGGTGTAGGGAGCCAGAAAGTGAGAAAATCAATGTCCAAAGTCTGAAACACTCCTTGCCTTTCTGTGGTTAAGCAAGCAAGTAAACCTTGCAAACCAGTAAGCCGTAGGTCTAAAATAATAATAATGATGATGATGATAATAGTAAGAATAGCAACAAGAACAATTCCTTCCTTTCTGCTTCTAATTCCCTAGCCAAGTAAAAAAGCACAAAGTATTTCTAGGTAACAATTCTGAGAAAGTTTGGGCTTGGGTGAGGTTCTCTGAGGTAAGATAAACTGCCTGCTCACATTTGTTGAACCTTCTTTTCTGTAAGTTGTGTTGATTTATTTTACGTCTTAGAAACAGCAGTTCAACAAAGGCAGACCCACCCTACTGGATGGTGAGCTGCCTCCTCCTCCTCCTCCTCCTCTTCTTGCTTCTGAGCTCAGAAGCCAGAATAGAAACTAAAATCAAGGAGTGATGGTGGGGGAGGGGGAACACTCACTTTCCCCATCCTTTGGAGTAAGGTGTACTTCTCCAGAAATCCCACTCCTGGCTTCAGCTGGCAACACACAGCAGCCTGCAAGCCCGGCGGGAGTGCAGCTGGAGGTGGTATCAGGTGTGTGTCCAGAGGGAAGCGCAATGCCTCTGCCTATCCACAGCTTCCCTCTGCCTGCCAGCAGCAGTGCCACCCGCACAAGTATTATTCACCTATTTTCTCATCTCCTAGCTGCAAACAGCAATGAAGAGTTTGAAGCATAGCTGCTCTTGCCACCAACAGCACACCCCACTGAAGGGACAAGCAAGCACACAGAGAGACCAGGGATCAAAAGCCATCAATATCCAAACTTCTGGTAGGACAGTTCAGTTTAAACGGAGAGTAAAGTACCAGTCAGATTCCTTCAACACGTTCATACAATTGTGTTAGCGTCAGAAAGCAGTAAGCAAAGGTAAATTCTCCATAATCCAGCTTTTGCACATAGCTTTTTAAAAGCCCCCTCACTTCCCCAAGTAGGATTTGCCCCCAAGTTTGATTTATATTTTGAGCTAAGCAGGAAAAAAAAATCCCTTCTTTGACACTATCATCCCACTCTTCCCAAGCTAACAAGTTACTAATACTCCCATGCTTTTAGAGAACTAACCTGGTGAGCAGCCTTGGTCAGTGCAGACTTCCTCTCCTTGCACAAAGAGGCTCTGGCGAAGATGAAACTAAACTTACTCCCTCGGATGTTCTTATTGGCAGTTAGCAGTAAATCGTACAATAGGTGGGAGGTAACTTGAAGGGGGAGGTCAGGAGCTGTGCCCTGTCCTTACAACCACACTCTTTACACGTGCAAAACACAGTCATTTATTTTTCTTT